CTTGGTAGCGATGAGATGCCTCCCTCGATTGTTTGCGTCGAGTTTGCTTCTCGTTGACGATCCGAATATTTATACTCACTGGAACAACTGCCTTGTCTGGTTGATAACTCTTGATGAGTTTTGGGATTCAGAACAAGTAACAAACTCTAATGATCGAGTTGTTTGAACCGAAAATAATTCGGTTGGATTCAGAACAAGTAACAAACTCTAATGATCGAGTTGTTTGAACCGAAAATAATTCGGTTAATAAGCCAAATATCGACGGTTTAGAGTTCCTCCGTCTGTTGATTTCCCAGACTGTGTAAGGAGTCAATCCTCCTTTTTCTGATTCTGGAAGATCTGATCGAAAGATCTTCTCCTGATTATCAAAAATCCGATCTCCCCCAATCCAAAAAGGAGATCCCTTACTCTGTTGAGTTTGTTGCTATTTATAGGGGGATTAGGGGTGTAACTGCCCCCATAATCCGCGCCTAAATGGGGGTTTAGTTACCCCATTAGTCGGGTGTAACAACCCACTAAAGCCACTCCTCAAATCGTGGGTGAAGAACAGCTTCGAAGTTGTTACGATCACGTTTGAATGAGTCAGAACCTTGACCTGCGTTCTGGCGGTGATTGAGCTGCGTTTGGCAGCGACTGACGGGCTGCGTTGGGCAGTGATGGATGAGCTGCGTTGGGCAGCGATTGATAAGCTGCGTTCGAGCTGTGCTCGGCAGCGATTGGAGCTGCGTTGGAGCTGTGCTTGGCAGCGATTGATAAGCTGCGTTGAGCAACGATGGAGCAGCGATTGATAAGCTGCGTTCGAGCTGTGCTTGGCAGCGATTGGAGCTGCGTTGGAGCTGTGCTTGGCAGCGATTGATAAGGCGATGGAGCTGCGTTGGGCAGCGATGGAGCTGCGTTCGAGCTGTGCTTGGCAGCGATTGGAGCTGCGTTCGAGCTGTGCTTGGCAGCGATTGGAGCTGCGTTCTAGCTGTTGATTGTTGTAGTATTTAGATTTCTCTGTCTTTATATATGGATGACACCAAAGACCAGTAAAGAAGGTCTTATTCAAGCCATTTGTGACAATTGAGGCATCTCAATAACGCTCTATCAACTGCAGGTCATGATCTCCACTGAGTGTGTCGAATATCATTACACTGCTCATCAGCACCTCTAATGGTTGCTAATATAATATTAGTCATGTTGTTGTCGCAGCCATCAAGATCAATCATCTCACATAAGAAGCTGCATTCGTGTTTATAGCTGTTGAAGCGGCGTAGGTGATTGAATCGGTGTAGTGTCTTGATGATGGTACGCGGGGAGGACTTCCACGTCTTGGTTTGAAGAGATCGTCGATTTGTAATCCTTTCTGTCAGAGTATTGCTAAAGACTGTCGTTTTGTAATCTTTGCTTTAACTCTTTGACATGTGAAAATCTTCGAATTGTAGCCTTCTGGAAGTCGTCAAATTGTAACTTCCATCATCAGTGTTCGATGGAGACTCAGCTATCCATTGTGATTTTTAGACAGCCTACAGAACCCCCTCCAAAGTTTTCGAAAGTTCGCGGTTGACTGGGACGAATTTTCGGAATACTTTGGATCCCAAAACTTTGAACTCTTCATGTTGAATATTTTATTCTACATTGTTTATTTTGTTTATTTCAGAATAATAAAAAGAATTTATTCTTCTCTCATTTGAGAGTTTCTTGTTCAGTTGTAAAAAAAAAAAGAAAAAAAGAAAAGAATAAATGTTTGATTTCCTCCTCCTCAGACCAAAGGTAATTGCAGATTTTTATCAGCCGACCAAATGTAAGTGCTTCACTTCTTATCTGCTTTACTTTATGCATCATAGAGTTTGCATTGAGGACAATGCAAAATTTAGGTGTGGGGGTGGGAATTAGTTATTTTTTCTCTTTATTTTACATTTTTAGCTACATTTTTTTTTCCTTTTTCTTTTTTAAAAAAAATTATAAAAATATCGTCACTTGCCAAATTGATGGAGTTATGTAATAATTGATTTATTTGATAAATTTGAAAATTTCTAATCCCTAGTTGGTTATTTACTTAAGATCACCTTTTATGATAACTCTAAATAAATTTCTTAAGAAATGATTTTCAAAGTAGTATACTTTACTTAAGCCTTAACTTGGACTTTTATTTAAAATAATGAAATTTTTGCATGCTTAACTTAGAGTTGAAAATAATTTTTTTCAAAGTGTCTTGATTTACATATTTTCAAAATATATATACATATACAAAAAAAAATTGCAAAAGAAGAGTGCGAAAAATGGGCACCAAAAAGAAAAAAAACTCTTTAATTCAAGGTGATTCTATCTTATAAAGCCTAAGCTGACCGAGTAATTAAGCCCAAGGAGTATTTCCATACTTAATGACCTAAGCCCATTTGGGTTGGGATCCATTGGCCCAAAACTCGTTAAATGGTCACTTAGAAAGCCCGTTAAAGTAGAAAAAATCACCAAGGAAGAAAGAGTTAAAAAAAACTAATAAATGTTTTATAGTTGTATATATGGTCTTGGAAAATATTTTAAATCAAGCAACTTGAAAATTATTTAAAACAAAGAGTTAGCATGTTCTTTTCAAAACTTTTAAATTAAATTTCTAAGTTTGGCTTGGTTTTGTATTGCTACAATGAGAAGATTTTCTTAAAAATATACCTTAGAGTTATATATAAAAATGTTTTCTTGAGTGATAACTGGCTCCAATTAGATTATCTAAAAGTTATCAAGTGAATTTAGTTATTTACTGACTTCTTTAATTTGGCAAGTTGACCGAATTTTGTGGGTATATTCACTGCAAACCCTCACGAGACTACAACTCGTCCACTAGGGTAACCTAGGGGTTTAAAGGCTTGTTGTATGCGCTAAATACAACCGCGATTCCTGCGAAAGTGAGTTAGGATTTTCTTTTTATTTTCTTTGCTAGAGGACTAGCAAAAGTTTAGGTGTGGGGGTATTTGATAATCATATTTTGTTACAATTTTATACCCTCATTATCTATTTTATATGAATAAATATACCACTAATAATTATTTTTATCTTTTAATTGCAGGTTAATGAAGAA